CCTACCGCTGTACTATACAGCCTCGCAGTCACTCTCGGCAGTAGAATTCAGCAAGTCATTGCAGGCTTACCCTCCCCGGGAGCGAGGACCTCCGAGCTAGGGATGTAGGCGAGGTGAACGGCGCGGAAGGTTCCCCTTCTGGGCCGCTCCATATCGCAGGACAACTGACTTTGCTGTCTTGAGAAGTTCCCTTCTGTAGAACTATCTGTTATCAGAAGGAGGCTGAAATGCGAACCTCACAAGATACTGCCGGTCGGGGCCGATGCCCCACTCATCCTCAATGCATTCCACGTCATATCCCTTGCCAGGGATCGGTTGACCAAACTGAGGGGGCCGGTCTGGGAATGCATCAGCTGGAGTGAAAGGTAGCAGCTTGGATGCATGAAAGACCGGGTAGGTACGTAGATGCAGCGGGATGTCGATAACATACGACGGACCGAAGGGATCAGCGCCCACTGTATCAAGAACCTGCCATGGACCCAGGTAACGTGGCAACAACTTGGGGGAGATATCCTCCTCCCTCGACAACTCGGAACTGGCCACCCAGACATAATCACCAGTGCGGATGGGGGAAGGCCGCCTGTGGCGATTAGCTTGTTCAATCATAGCCTTTTGGGCTTTGAACAAGTTCGCGTGGGCTCTTTCCACATCTAGACGATAACGTCTTGTGAACTCTGTTGTGCCTGGTGTCAGATCAGGCTTAGCCTTATCGATGATATCATCGAGAGGCTGTCGTGGTTCACGCCCCCAGTGTAACCGGTAGGGACTGAACCCTGTCGAGGAGTGGACAGACATGTTATACATGAGCTGTGCCCGAGCCAAGTGAAGGTCCCAGTCCTGCTGATCTGGAGAGATGACAGGACGCAGCAATTAGAATAAGACTTGGTTCGTCACCTCAGCCTGACCATTGGCTTCAGGATGATGACCAAAAGTCATGTCCAATCGTGAGTGTAGGTAATCCTTACAATAGGACTGCCACTCATCGCTGCAAAATCTGGGGTCTCTGTCACTGACTATAGAAGTGGGCGGTCCATGGTGAGTGACCCACCTCTCAGAAAAGGCTGCTCTCACAGCCGGAACCCGAGCTACCTTTGGCAAGGGGATGCACTTTGCGTATTTGGAGAACCTGTCCACGCAGACCATAACTTGACGCATGCCACGAGGGGTGGTCTTGCCTAAATCTGTGAAATCTATTGCCATAGATTCAGCAGGGCCATCTGGTATGGGTAAGGGTTTGAGCAGTCCCAAGGGAGGTCTACGGTGGATCTTATTCCTTTGGCAGAGCTCAAAGGTGTCCACATAACGCAACATATCACTCCGCATCTCCTTCCAGAAGAAGCGCTGCGACAGGGATGCATAGGACTTTAGGAACCCAAAATGTCCACGGGCGTCATGACACTCTGACATCAGCAGTGTCCTAAGCCGCTGGTCCTGGGGAATGCACAAGCGCTCCTCCCCTCTGCTGTAGGTATACAGCAGATCTGAACTCAGAGCGTAGCCTGGTTCAGAGTTAGGATCCGCTTGCAGATTCCTGACGATGGGTCCAAAAGTCTCATCCTGAGGCAGTAGACGAGCAATGGTGTGACGGATCTCCTCCCCAAAGGAGTGAGTAGAGGAGATCAACGCAAAAGAGTCAGGCCTACGAGAGAGGACATCTGCTACCTTGTTGTAGCAACCCTTCTTGTGTTTCAGTTCAAAATAGAACATATCAATGAACTGAATGTACCGTGCCAACTTGTCGTTCAACTCTCCCTGGGACTTCATCCACTGCAAGGTGGAGTGATCTGAAAAGATCTTGAAGTGTTTTCCCAGGAGAAAGTGCTTCCAATGTTTCAAGGCACAGACAAGAGCATATAGCTCTTTCTCGTAGGTAGAGTCCTGGAGCTTTTGAGTTTTGATCTTCTTACTCATAAACTCTACAGGCCGTAGACCATTCCCATCATCCTGCTGAAGAACTGCCCCAATGCCATACTGACTAGCGTCAGTGGTCAGGATGAATGGCAAAGTGGGGTCAGGTAACTTCAGCACAGGCGCACGAGTCAATGCCTTCTTGAGTCGTGTGAAGGCCAACTGACAGGGAAGGGACCAAAGAAAGGGAGTATCTTTCTTTGTTAGGTTGGTCAGGGCTGCAGCCACTGCAGAAAAGTTCCTGACAAACTTTCTGTAGTATGAGGCTAGACCCATGAAGGACCTGTCATACCTCACTGTCTGTGGCTGAGGCCAGTCCTGAATAGCAACAATCTTAGCTGCTTCAGGAGCCAGACCATCTCCAGAGATTACATGCCCCAGGTAGATAACAAAGGGAACTCTCAAAGAGGACTTCTCTCTGTTGATCTTATACTGGCTGTCACGTAACGACTGAAGGACAAGAGCCAAATGCTCCGCATGTTCCCTGGCAGTCCGGCTGAATACCAGGATATCATCCAGGTAGACAACCATGAACTTGTCCAGGTAAGGCCTGGAGATGCGGTGCATCTCTGTCTGGAAGGTGCCTGGGGCATTGCAAAGTCCAAATGGCATGACTAGGAACTCATAAGTCCCATACCTGGTCTTGAAGGCTGTCTTGTAGACATCCCCCTCTGCCATCTCAATCTGGTGGTAGCCAGATTTGAGGTCGACTTTGTTGAATACTGTGCAGCCCTGCACCATATCCAGAAGGTCATCGATCCTAGGAAGGGGCTTTGTACTCTTCCTAGTGATCTTATTGAGACCCCTGTAGTCAATACACATTTTGAACTCGCCGTTCCCTTTGGGCACAAAGAGAACAGGTGCGCCGAATTCAGAAGTGCTTGGTCTGATCCAGCCTTTGCTGGTCAGGGTTTCAAGCTGCTTTCTGAGCTCCTCAAGCTCAGCAGGGGACATCCTGTAGATGCGGCCCTTGGGGGGGACCGCTCCAGGCAGCAACTCGATGTGATGCTTGGTTGGCCGGTTGGGTAACCCAAAGGGCTCCTGCATCAGATCTGCATACTTGTCCACCACCTGCTGTATCTCAGGAGGACAGGAAACAAGGGGGAGCGTCAGTCTGCTTGACCAGAGCTATGAACAGACGCTCATGGTCATACTGGCTTGAGAGAGAGTAAAACTCTCTCGCTCTCAGGCAGTAGCAAGAGGTTTTAGGGTGATGATCAACAACAATCATGCATGGCTGATACACCCCCTGGCTATTAGGTAGCTCAACCTTTGGGATCTGCCAGTCGATCCTTGGGTTGACTGCCTTTAGCCACTGCATAGAGAACACCAAGTCAAAGGGTAGCTCAGGGAAGATGTAGAAGTTCAGACTGTGTCTAACTTCTCCAGCACTATCGAAGGTCACAGGGATACCCTTGATCTTCTCCCTGATGTTGAGCACTGTAGAGTCACCAATCCTCACCAGCAGTGGTTGCTGCAACTGCTGAACTTTCATGCCCAGATGCAACTTTTTAACTGCACTGGGAGACATGAAGTTTCGGGTGGCTCCACAGTCCAACAGCCCAGTGATCCTGGTGCGGTTGATCAGGGGCCGAAGCATGATGAGATCAGACTTGTTTTTCTTCTGTTCCTTCACATGAAGGAAGAAGGCAGCAAGGGACTAAAGCTCATCCTGCTCCGGGTCCTGATCCGGGTCAGGATCCTCATAACAGAAGGATGCTGCCCGCGCAGTCCCCAAACCATCTGAACCTGTCTCAACTGAAACAGCTGCAGATGCACCTACCTGAGTATATGAAGGTGCAACACTGGGGGTAACTGCAGTCCCCAGGGTCTGTTTCAGTTTTTTGACTGTCCTGGGCCTGGCATGTAAGGGCAGTCCTTCAGGAAGTGTTGTCCCTCACACCTCAGGCAGACCCCTCTCTCCTTCCTTCTTCTCCAGACTCCCTCCTGGATCTTGAGGTCATGCTAGGGGAGTGTGGAGAGAGGGTCAGCTGGCATACGGACGTCTTTGGGCAGGTTAGGGCGCTGGGAAGAGGAAGGCTGACGTCCCTTTTCCTTCCCCTTGGCACTGGCTGAGGCTGTGGTGGGGGAAAACTTCTTCTGCTGCTGCAGAACTCCCAAAACAGCCTGAGTCAGGGCTGCTGCAACATCTGTATCAGCAGCAGATCCAGTCCCAGCTGAAGGTGTATCAACCTGGGAATCTGAATCTGAACCTGATGCAGATCCGACATGTGTGAAGGCTACCTTTCCCTTTCTACCACCTCTAGGGAAGGCACCTTTCCTCCTGTCAGAGGATGGGGCCTGAACATGAAGCTTTGCCTCCATGTCCAGGGCTGCACAGCCAAACGACCTCCAGTCCTTGTGCCCAACACTCTACAATGCAACTGAAAACTTCTCAGGGGCTGCCCTACAGAAGTTTGTCAGCAGGTCATCTGCAGACATCACCAGCCCTGGTGTGGAAGTCAACTGCTCGAACTCTGCAAACAAGGATTGCAGGGAGCCGCTAAAGCGCTGCTGTCCCAGGCGAGCAATTCTGTCAGCAGCTTTGCGGGTCCGCTCCTTGTCTGTAAAGCAGTCTTCCAAGGCCTGCAGAAGCCTGTCCACTCCCAGTCCCAAAGCCCAGTTTGCTGCAGACCGCTGGAGGTTGAAGTAGCCCACTTTTGTGCAGGCCCCTCCAGCAGTCCAAGAACAGTGGCCACCTTGGTCTGTTCTGGGCACACAAAGCCCCTCAAGTAGGCTTTGGTCCCTGCCGCCCAATCCCCAACATCGGTCTTGGGGTCATCACCCCTGAACTTGTTGGGTGCAAGGATCTTGGGACCTCTTTGATCTCCTGCAGCAACATCAGCATAGGTGGCCTTGCCTGAGGCCTTTTGGGACTGATGTGGTGTCATGGGAGAATGCACTGACCCAGGGGGAGATGAAGGAGGGGTAGAAGGAGGAGAAGGTTTGGGTTTTATCAGAGGAAGCTGAGCGGCAATCAGCTTGGCGGCTGACAGCTGAGCAGTCAAGTTCTGAATCGCATCCTGAATCTTAGACTGCTGAGCTGCCAGGTCGTCAACCCGACGCTCCAAACGATCAAAATGATCATCCCAGTTCGTGAAGTGAGAACTGGTGATCTTGTGCTCCAGAATGACCATCTCTGCCAGGTGTTTGGTCACCTGTGCACAACGGTCATCTGTGAGCACCTTGTCTAGCTTCTCCAACAGATATTCCCTTCGGGAATTATCTGTTGCAGCCTCTAGCTCAGCTGCCTCCTGATGTTCCAACTCTGCAAGCAGGTCCTGTTGCTGCTGCAGCTGCTCTTGCAACTCCTTTTTTTGCTGAGTAGCAGTCAGAGGTGGAGGGGGAGTGGAGATTGAAGGCTGTTGACCTTCCACCTTCATCACCACTTCCATTTGTGGCTGCTGCTGAGCCCCCTGACCAGACCAAAATACAAAATAAAAACAGCAACCTGAGTGTGCAGCGATAATCAGATTCCTTCAGACACCCTGGAATCGCTGCAAAACTCAGACACTGGAATAGGTGGGTGTATAGGCAAACAGGGATTTGGGTTGGAAGGGTCTCTCTGGGGTCAGGTGTCAAACAGACTGTAAGTCCAGCAAAATCATGCACACAATTTCCTTTTACTGACCCTGCACCACACTGGAGTTAGTAGAGTCACTCCACTACTCTTCCAGAGACACACTAGATTTCCAGAGCCCGCTAGAAAACCAATGTATTCAGCGAGAATGATAGAACATGGTTAGTACAGACAAGAGAGGTCAACCACATCAAGCGATTCAGACAGATACCCTATATCCCGACTCAGACTCTAATTTAGACCATGATGACTCTGGCGGCCATACCCTAGGGTATGGCGAAGTACAATATTCACTGCATCCAGTGAAATACTGTAAATCCACTCATGCGATTCTACAGTGGTGTCTATTTTTGGATTGCGATTCACTGGGGACTGACAGAATGGAATTCTGACGGACAGGATTGAAGTTATGACTGACCCTAGTTAGCACAGGCTATAAATAGACTCAGCGCAAAACTGCAATTCACAGTATCACTACCTTTCCAGTGCAGAATTCACAATTTGAGCATCCCAGATCAAGCGCAATGCAGTACAGCAGTCACAGAACAATTTTGGATCAGAAAGAGTCAACAGAGGATTAGAAATGAGCAGAGAGAGGTAGGGGGGAGATGGATATGGCTGTCATGCAGTTTGCGATTTTCACATCCAGTCACTGGCAGACAGATAGACCAATATTACTGACTAATCTCATCCTATCTGGATCACCATACAGATAGGTGCATGGAACGGACTCACTTTCCGGGTTACTTGCAGGTCTTGATGGAGATCGGGTTGTGGCAGATGAGGACCCTTATCTCGCCAATTTCTTCCAGATATTCCTCCTGACAATCCCACGCACAGAACTGCTTCAAACTTGTTGATCCTCCTCAGGATCCTCAAGCGCTTCACTCCCTTAATCCAGATGCACTGTATCTGGTCCTGTGGCGCCCAAATAGCCAACAACAAAATATCTCGCTACAGTGCCTGGTAGCCGCTGATGCTAAAAATAGCCCTAGATGGGGTTATTCTTTCTGAAGATTGATATAGTGTGTCAATCTCCTCCAGCGCTACCCAGGGATGATGACGCTCCGGGTTCCCTGATGTCCTCAGGGGTAAATCGCCACTCTGGGGTACTTCGCAATATTACCCTCAGGGTTGGCTATGGCGAACTAGCTTTGTACTCGCCACTTCCTGACAAGCGCCCTGACAGGCTCAGTGCGCTTGCTCAGTGCAACCACTGAACACCTGAATCCACCGCTGAAAATCTTCTTCCCTGCTGACTCAGTACTGGGGAAGATGAATCGCCATGAAACTCTCGCCAGTATGTTGCCAGATGAAGAAGATGCCTCAGTGCGCTCAACCCTCAATGTTTCAATTCCAATCCCGCTCCGATACCAACCTTTATGACCTTGGTTGTCTGACGATTTGTACAGCCACTCACACACAGACCGTCTCATACATGCCCATACACGCATAAGAGAAGGGGGAGAGGAGACAAAGTCCACACTGCACACAGATAAGAGTAGCCAGCAGAATACAGCTATGCACAAATGGGGAGAGGACACACAGTGTTTCTCTCTCTCTGACAAACTCCCAACAACCAATCACAAGAAGAACCTGCGAGGATAACAATTGAAATTCACACTGATGATGAACCACTCAAACAGGTATCGTAACAAAGTTTGTTCCATTATCTCGCCACTCTCAGAACACGCACCCCACTCTCTATCCTACACCGGGTTAGTAGCGCCAGATCAGAACAGCCTCCCAGAGGCCAGCGCAAACCACCCTGATGGAGAACAGGTCCTGCGATGAAGTCTTCGGTGTAGATGAACAACTCTGATGAAGGAACAGGCAGCTATGGCTGCCACCACCCACGAATACACAATGCAGAGCCTCGGTGTAGCCCGACCAGACGCGGATACCCCCAGGGGTAGATGCACTGAGGATGCCCCAGCTATGGCAGACTCAGACTGGGCCGGCTATGGTTGCTGTCAACGACGAGGTCTCAGGATGCTGCCTGCAGACAATCACCGCCACCAACTTGCTTGGCTTCTCCAACGCTGCTTCGCGAGAAATGAACT